AGGAGGAAGCATTTAGGAACTAGAGGAAAGTTGTTTCATCGCTGCTATGTTGCACCCTGACTGGCTATCTCCTCCCCGAGACCCCTCAGTAAGAGGATGTCCAGTGGCCTACAAATAGGCTCTGGGTCTCCACTCCGTACTCACCACCTCATTCACAATATGATTTTTTTGTTCTGATGATGCCTGATCCCTTCAACACCTCATGATTGCACAGGCTGGTGTGCTTCTTCCATGTGAGCTTTGTTGCTTCTGAGCTAGATGGCCGCTTGTTTACTTTCAAGCTTTTAAGACCCCAGGCGTCATTATCTTTTGATAGCCGGACACCATCAGCTTTCTTTACCACATTTGCTTATGCACCCGCTTTGTCTTCAGCGGTTGTGTTGGGAAGATGAGCATCATAGAATGCCCATTTAATAAAAGAAAGTATTCTTGCATCGAGGAAGTACTTGAGTAGAGGCCCAATATCCTTCTGCTACCTTAATACTAAACCTACAAATTTACGCATAGATCTATTTCTCCATCCTCATATATATCTGCATATGTACATGCCTTTATTTAGACCTCTATAAATGCCCTTTGCCTCTTAGCTCTTTCCTCTATTTCCTTTCACTTTCCTCTTGTCCCATTATCATGCTCAGTCTTCATGTGGGTTTCAGTAATTCCCTTGGTTACATTACCCTTGATAACGCCCTACCAGGCCTCCTATACCCACCCCACCACTAATTTGGACCACTTATTGTTCCCTTGTCCCTGGGTTTGTTAACACCATTACCTTCCCCCCCACCTCCACCTCTCCCATGTCCCCCCGGAACTGTCGGTCCCGTTGTTTTCTCCTCCAGATTGTTCATACAGTCTATCTTATTTAGACAGACCTATGGAGATAACATGCACAAAAACAACAGAGAAAAACCAAGAAACAATAGCAACAAAACAACAGCAACAACAAACCAATGACAAAAAAAAATCAAAACAAAATACAAGAAAGAAAAGCTTGTAGTTAGTTCAAGGACTGTTTGATGGCCTAAAGGAGTGTTTTCCAGTCCAGTCTGTTGAGGCAGTGAGTTTTTATAGGGAGGCAGGGTGGAGTTCTGTACACTTCTGCTTCTAGGACTGTTACCTAAAAACTTCCCCATGATTTTTCAGCTCTCTCTCCTTCAACTGCTAGCTGTGGGCTGGAGATCAAGTAGAAGACTCCTAAGTAGCCTTAGGACATTAATTGAAAAATAATAAACTTTCACCAAAACTCACTGCCGCCCAAACCATCTTATCCAGCCCTTGGGATTTAATCCTATACGTAGAACCTGACATCTGGTCTTTGTCATTTATCATCTTCTCAAAGCACCTCCCCTTCCACCCTACGTATTAACAAGTGGACTACCCATGTCCTGTGCTATGCCTTATGTGAGCATAGTAGCTCTGCTCTGTGAGGGGCTAAACTGCTTCCTGAAACTGGCTTATGCTGCTAATATCGGACTTATGGACTTGATATGGACTAGGCTGGGATCTTTTCTCAATATACAATTGCTCTTTAATATAAAGCTCTTTCTTATACATATATGAGTGTCCCTGGATTTGTTTCTCTAATCAATCCAGGCTAACCCAGAATGGAGAAGAGGATAGGAAGGCTCATGCAGAGACTGAAACTCACAAGTCAGGATGTGACAGGAGAGTAGTTCTAAATCCATCACAAAGGGCTTTACTGTTTGCACCCCTACAGACACACACACACACACACACACACACACACACACACACACACAGCAACACCATTTCCTGAAAGGAAAATAGAGGTCCTTCAATTGGTTTGGGTATGCTACATGAGCAAAAACACTCTATGAAAATGAGTAGGATTATACTCCTGGTTCAGACACTGAAACTTAGATGCCATGTGAGCAAACACATAGAAAATATAGTTGTGGTAGCCCCTTACTGAAGAGTTGCCCAGTCCCCCACTACCCTCACAGCTGTGAGCCCGTTGTTGCAAACACTGTGTCAATCCATCTCATTGACAGCCTTCCTCTTTATTGCTTACCTTCTTCCAAGCATGATATTATTCTCCAGGGATTGGTCCCTTCCTGATGATATGTCCAAAGTACCTGAGATGAAATATCAGTAGCCTAACTGCTAAGGAGCATTCTGGCTGTACTTCGTCCAAGCATTTTATTTGTTCTTCCATCAGCTTATGGTATACGTAATATTCACCAACTTCCTAATACAAAGGCACTAATTCTTCTCCAGTCTTCCTTAGTTACTACAGTTTTGCATGCATACAAGGCAACGGAGAATACCATGGCTTGGATCAAGAGCAGCTCAGTCCTCAATGTGACATCTCTGCTTTCTATCACCTGTTCTACAGATTCACCCCACGCATTTTGCCCTTTGGTTTTTTGACTGCTACTTTCATGGGCATGGGTTGTGGATCTAAGTAAAATGAAATCTTTGACAATTTCAATATTTTCTCCATTTATCATGGTGTTTCTAACCAAGTACACAAAAGAAAACATCAACGGAATAAAAAGATTGGTTCCCCACCGCCCCAAAAAAGGCACAAGTAACCAATGAGAAAAATGAAAGGGGGCTATCTCTATACACTCTACAATCTAAGGAAAGTATGATGAACAGATTTGTGGCCATTTGAAATTTATGCGAGGAATTTCTAAAAAATGCATAATTTATCAAAACTGGCACAAGAAAAAATAGAAAACATGGAAGAGTTTCTGTGGTAGTTTACGTGTGGCCACAACATCTTTGGGGTCCCTCCAAGGTGTCGGTCTCCCTGACCCTTTCATCTGCACTGGCTTCACGACCTGCTTTGACTAATACAATGTGGTAAAAGTGACAGGAAAACTCAAGTCCTTGAGGTTTCCATTTCACTCTGGAACTCAGAGACCACCCACCGTGAGGACGCTGGACCAGCCTACTGGAAGAAAGGCCTAGACCTAACCAAAACCAAACTCGCTGCCATCGCATTGATGCCGATTGATAGTGACCCTACAGGACAGGGAGGAACTACTCCTGTGGGTTTCTGCGACTGGAACTGTTTATGGAAGCAGAAAACCTTGTTTTTCTCCTGAGGAGTGGCTGTGGTTTCAAAATTCAGACCTTGCAGTTAGCTGTTCAACAGGTAACCACTACGCCACCAGGGCTCCTTTAAAGGCCCAGAGTTGTTCTAAATTCTGGTTTCGGTTTCCTTTTGTGGCCAGCCACACAAGTCTTCTAATCAAACATGTAAATCCATTTAAGCCAATTCAAGTAAAAGGACTCAAACGAGTGGGCTTGGCAAAAAACGTAACAGAAATCTAGGGTTCGAATCACCATCCATGGAAACTGAAGGCACGGCGCAGAAAGGTGTAAGAATCCAGGCAGCCTTTTCAGAGACCCCAGCACTTGCTCATAATCCTCTCAAGTACCCGAATGGCACCAGAAAACCCCTGCAACACAGACTACATAGGACTTCCACTTGGCCCTACTTTTTTCAATTGTCACTTAGAACTTAGGTGATGTAACTCAAAGGGCCGCTAACCACAAGGTAGCAATTAGAAACCTCTGCAGGTAAAGGTTTAGTCTCAGAAACCTACTCTGGCCGATAGGGTGTGGGTTGGAAACGACTTGATGGCATTTTTTGAACTTTGCTGCCAATTTACATTTCAGATGGTTCACTTTGTGTCCCACAGTCTCAACTACTCTTCAAGCAGACCCACCTCTATCATCTCACCCCTTCCTGGATCCTTGATTTATCTTCTCCTCTACCCCTGCGGATCACCACTTTCCATTTCACTCAAGTCTACACCCATCAGGGTCTAGTGCACTGCTTTATCTTCCCTCTCTTGCTCTGGGTCAGTGAACAGCTCCCTGTGTCTGGGAGGTCAAATCCCCAAGGCACATTCCAATTAACCAGACTCATTTTTCAAAACTAGTGCACAAACCTTAGGTTTCAAGTGGCCATTCCATCAGTTTTGACAAATTACCTTTACTTTCCAGAGGTTGGAGGTTACTTCAAGAGAAAGAGTGGCTTGCTTGAATTCTAGATCTGAGCACAGGGCCTGGCAGGCTCAGCAGCCTGGCCCTCCAAGATCTCTCCCCTGATAAACTGGCCGGCTGTTCTGTTCTTTAGGGCTGGCCCTTGCTGGAGAGCCTGTGATCAGTCAGCCGTGCTCATGGGGCCTGTAACCCTGAGAAACATCAAGAAGCTACAGCAGCCACTTGTTCAGATCAACTCAGAGATCTCTCCTGGAAGCTAATGTGACCCGTTACTGTACCACACCCACTTCTGAGGCAGCAGTACACCTGCTCTGCATGTGAGGCAGGTAAGAAGTGTGGACCTTCAATGCCCTGAAAAGAGTCCTCAGTGACAGAGTGGGGGTGGGGGTAAGCACACACAGGTGGTGAGCCCCCAAGCTTTTGAATCAACCTGCAGCCCACAGTGGTAACTGGCTTGATCATGCCCTTCCCTCTCTCTGTCTCACTTCTCCATTAGCTAGCCAGTGTTGCTACACTTGCTTCCCAAACGTAGTTTCTCTACTCAAGTTCTCAGAGTTGGCTTCTGGGAGAAAGGAAGCCAAGACCGAAGTCCAGGGTAGCCTGCTCCTAAGCCACATCCTGAGATCCAGCTGCTTTCAATAATAAAGCCAGTATTTTAATCTTTGACTGCCTAAAGCCTGTGTCTACTTTTCACCTGGTATAGAGACAGTTGCTGTCAGAATTGACTCAATGGCAGTGAGAAGCCCCAAGTAAATACTTGATACAGGTTTGCTGAGTGCTACAGTAGAGGGCGAGAAGACCTTTGACCATACGAGCTCAAAGGAGGCAGGAAATGGTTGCCTGGCAGAGTTAACAAGAGAAAAGGGCATGAGTTGTAACCTTGGTGAACAGAGGGGACAGCCTGCCCCCACCCAGGCCCTTTCTTAACACATCAGGTAAAGTGGGGAACAGAGGCCCAGGGTTTCTTGCCAGCCAGCCTTTCTTAGGGCCCCTTCAGGTGCCAAAGACAGAATCAAAGATGACACACCAAATATTTATTGCAAGACCTGATTGCCAACAATGCTAGGCCCATGTCCCGGGCCCAGCTGCACCAAGGAGTCCTCCCCACCACTTTTTGTGGGGACAGTGGCACCCAGTTTGGTTAGTTACTCATGTCTAGCTTTCCTGCAGTGAGTCCTCAGGAGGCAGGAAGCGGCTGGGCCTGTGGAGGAGAAAACACCATCATCTGGCGCCTCGTCTGTGCCCAACTCTGGGCACAGTGTCCGGGAGACTGTGTGCGCACAGCAGTGCCTGCCCTTGCACAGCCCAGTCTAGAGCAAGACAGCATCAGGTGACGACCTGGGCCACCTGCCATGTGAACAAGCCAACCAGCCGTGGTGAGCTGTCATTAAGAGGGGCAGGGTTAGCACTGTGCCACCATGTTTTCTACGGGCCTGCTGTGGGCTGGGCACTGCCAGTGGCCCTGGGGACTCAAGAGGCAAATGATCTTGATTCTGGGGTGCAAACACTTCAGCAAGAAGGCGACAGATGACCAGTGAATAAAAGTATATCAATTGATAATCAATTCTAGAAAACTAGACCATAGAAGGAGCAGCAGTGTTGAGGCTTCAGTATTTTGGGTAAGACTTTGTCAGCTAAGAAGCCTGGTCTCATAGTGGTCACCACTTGAGACTCTAAAGGTCTATGGCTCAAAACCAAAAGTTGCTCTGCAGCAGAAGAAAGACGAGGCTTTCTACTCCCGTAAAGTTACAGTCTCGGAAACCCACAGGGGCAGTTCTACCCTGTCCTATGGGGTCACTATGAGTCATCATCGACTCAATGGCAGTGATGTTATACATCAGGTTGTTGTCAGCTATGAAACAGATATTCCACGAGGTCTTTAGAGCATGCTTTTCTGATGAGAACTTTTGGGGGTCAGCAGCTCCATACATAACCTCTATGCCACTTAGAGCTCCTTGAGATGAGAACTTTTTGTTTGCTACTTGGCAGGAAAGAGACTAGAGAAGGCCCAAATCTCAGGGCCCCAGCCTAGTGAGGGCAAGCTGTATCGGGACCACCCTCAACTGGAAGACTGGCTGGTGGAGGGTAATGGCAGACTCTGTGGCAGGGCAGGAGAGGATCCTGCCCTGGATGTTTAGTGAAGGACCGGATGGAGGGTAAAAGGGTTGGTGATGAAGCGGGCAGAGGGAATTCAGGGAGGAAGTGGTGGACTGGCAAGCCTCCCCTTACCTCCACGGTGGCAGGGGAACTTGGAGGCTGCACCTGCTCAGCGCACTGAAGGAAGCGGCGTATGTGCTCTGAACAGTTGCCCACAGCTGCCTCATTCTGGCGCAGACACTCCTCAAAGGCCAAGAAAGGCTCAGCACAGACTTGGCGGATCTGGCGGATGATTGGGCTGTGGGGGAAGGATGTTTCAGAACCTGGGAGACGACCCCCAACCCAACTCCATTGCTCACCCCCAACCCAGACTCACTGTGAGGACGTGCAACGAGCAATGCTCATCTTGAGATGGTGGCAGTCCCTCTGCCATGACTCAGGCTTGGCCGCCACGCACTGGCCATACTGTTCCAGCTCCCGGCCACAGTAGCGAGCTGTGACCTCCAGGGCCGCCTGCCTATGGAACAGAGAAAGCCCAGGATCACTCCAGGGGGAGGGGTGAAGGAGAGTCTTGATCTGTGTGTGAGGTAGGAATAGAAATCCTGGGCAGCCCTGGAAGTCCAAAGGATGCTGAGATGTGACCAGAGAGGTGTAAAGGTGAGGGCTGAGCCCTCATGGAGTAGACCGGAGACACATGGATAGATAACAGGGGTCCTAAAATGAAGTCTGGTTGATCTAAGTCAAGCCTTCCGGGGCCCCAGTCAAAGGACCTTGAGTCTAAGGGCCAAGTGAAGCAGTAGAGTGGGATGTTGGGGACATTTTAGAGAACATTTGGAGGTCAGAGGGAAATGGTTCGAGGCCCTAGAAGACATGAAATTTTAGGGCGGGGAGAGGTGTCTAGGAGCCCTGGTGGTGTAATGGTTATGCGTTGGGCTGCTAATTGCAAGGCCAGTAGTTCAAAACCACCACTAGCCACTCTGTGAGAGAAAAATGAAGCTTTCTACTCCCATAAAGAGCTGCAGTCTTGGAAACTCAGGGGTAGTTCCACCCTGTCCTACAGGGTCACTGAGTTAGCATCTACTCGATGGTAGAGTGTTTGGCTGGAGTTTAGGGAGCCCTAAATATATTTGAAGGAGCTCTTGGGGTCAGGATCTGGGAATCCAAGTGGGATCACTTAGGACAGGGGTGTCAAAATGGCAGCCCACAAGCCGCATGCAGCCCACAAGCCGCATGTGGCCCCCGGGGTAATTTTTTGTGGCTTGCGATGCTCTGAAATAAAATGAAAATAGAAAAAAATGTTATAAAGAAAATAGTGCTTAGGGGAGATTGAGGCAATAACATACACATAATTCCCTTGTTAACCCTCTAACTACTGAAGACAAGCATACACGTGGCCCAGTGTCTTTCCTGGGGGCCTGTGGATGCGTATAAATGCGCTGGCTCAGTTCCGGCGACTTTTGGAAGCAATATGTCTGCCACTCTCAGTGTTACGTAATGTAAACAGATCCCAATAGCGAAAAGGTTAAAAAGAGCACTCTGGGTGGTGCTGTTATGAATCATACGTAGTGCTAGTTAACATTTTTGGAGGGAAGCCATTGTGTGAGCAACTATCTTCGTCCATGAAATTAAATAAAACGGCAAACAGATCAAGATTAATTGATGAACATTTATCTGCCTAACGAAGATCGTCTGTCCTCAGTCTTTGAATCCAGATATTGGAAAACTAGTAGGAGGTAAGCGCTGGCAAGTTTTGGGTAAAAAGGAATAATTTTAGTTTTATAAATACATTAAATAAAATAAATGTTTAAATAAAAGCAATTACATTGTTTTAATTATTCTATCCATATTCCTGAATCCTCACTTCAAAATATAAATTAACAAAATTTGTCAATGTGATGTGGCCCACGTGAATCTTGCCCGTTGCACCAAATGGGCCACGTTTTCATTGAGTTTGACACCCCTGGGGTAGGTGATGTCTGCAGTCCTGGGCAGATTTAAACTACCAAAAGGTATAGTCTCGGGATCCCTGCACAGGAACGTGGGGTTCTGAGGGCGGATCCAGAAATTCTAAGGTCTTACAAAAAGTCTGGGGTCCTAGCAGTGCACGATGATGGGCCTAAACTAGATCTGGGAGTCCGGAGGACGGAGTTTGGGTAAGGGGCACTGGCCCTAGAGGTCTTCCGGTTATCAGAGGACGAGGGGCGGAGCCTGATCCCGCAGAGGGCGGGGCCTCCACACCTGGAGAGTTGGGGCTTCTGAGGGACCACGCTAAATGCCGACGAGTGAATCTCCCAGAGGACAGGGAGGGCAGTGCTTCTTCCCAGGGTCCACAACAGTGTCCGAGGGGCGGGGAAGGAGAAGGGACGCGGCGCGGGTACCGGGCACCACTCCCGCTACTCACATCTCGAGGTCGGGACAGCGTGTGAGCAGTCGCAAGAGCGGCCCGCCTCTTCCGGTGCCAGGCTGTCATGGCCGCTCCCAGTTCGACCGGCCCCGTTTGTTCCGGTCAGAGGGCGGGCCAGCCGCCTCAGTCCTTTCCAGACTGTTTTCCTCACGGCTGCGCCGTTCTCGCTGCCGGACCTGTAACGGCGACATCCCAGTGGTGTACGTTGCGTTCTCTCTTCCGACGTACTCCGGGCTTGCACCTGCGGTGCCCCGGGCTCGCCGGAAGTTCGTCATCGGAAGTGAGGCGTACGGGCGCCCGGAAGCGAGGGGGCCCCCTGGCGGTGGCGGTGGCTGTGGCTCTGCGCATTCCCGCTTTCTGGGCTGGACCCGTCCGTGAGCGACTGGCCTTGTTGAGACCCTTCAACGTGCTGCTGTCTCGGGGCAGGTCTCCCCGCGGTGTCTGGGAGCCCGATCCCTGCTGCCGCGTGCTCCTCGCTGTCGGCATTGCACACACTCTGTCCGCTCGGGAACCTGGCCCGTGCGCGCGCAGCTCGCCAGAGCTAGAGTCACCCCTAGAGCTACACCCATGTAGCGTCTCCCAGCAGCTAGGTCTGGGATGCCCAGTCGAGACCCCCATCTTTTCGCATAGATAATAAAATCAGAACGGACAGAGGCATGAATCCTGGCTTCATTGCCATGGGGCCTCCTACACCAGACATCATTGACTTTCAGTAATTTCTACTGGTGTCAATAAAATAGTATGTGTGTCAGAATTCAGCAAGGTTCTGGTATGTAATGTTGCTAGTGTCCTCTCCTCCCCACCCCCACACACTTTCCAGGACTAGCAAGTACAACATCGATTGCCCTGGCAGCCTACTTTTCAAAAGTGTGAAGCTATTCCAGACTTGTCTGGATTATGCTGTGAGGCTGGACACTGGCACAGGTATTTCGTGATCAGTGAAGAGCAGCAAGTAGTCCTGTGATCTAGTACTCAGTGGGCTTCCCAGACTTGAACCAAAGTGAGTGTGAAACGCAGTTAATCATAGTGTTTAAATGGGACAAGGGCTATTGGACTGAGCAGGTGACTGAACCACTTGGAGTGTGGTTGCCCTGGTGTGTAAACTGGCAGTGATGACAGAGACATCTCATCACATAGGCAGCCATAGTGCATGTGAAGCTGGCACGCTCAGTTCTGACTCAGAGTTGCTGCAGGAGGCCCTAACCAGAGCTACCCTTGTTGGCAGTTGGCACCTGATGACTGCCCAGGGGCATCTGAACCTCCCTCAAAAGATTCCAGCAGGTTTAGAGCCATGGAAATGGAAAGAAAAGGTGCTTGCTTTTCAGTTCTCCCCTCTTCCAGCAAAACCTTTTAAGTGTATGTTTGTCTGGAGAAGAGGAGCAGGGCTTAACCTCAAGAACTGTAGGAAGAGATAGTAACTCCTCTCTGGGGCTTCGAAAACCCCAGGAATGTTTTGTTTTCCATTATTGTTTTTGCCCCATCCCTCCTCACTGTGCTGACTCAGCACATTAGGAACATGGTGACCAAGGAAATGGCCTTGTTTACAAAACTCCACAGGTGAATTCTGTGCAGTTTGAGAACCAGCGCACCAACCTAGTGTCCCTTCAAACTTGCCTGATGAGCAGAATCACATGAAGGGCAATGATTCAATGCGATGGCACTTGTAATACACTTTGCACAGGGCCTGGCATATAGAAACAGTATATACCATGTTAGCTGTTTCAAATTCTTACAGAGTATGTATTAGTCTGGGTACTTTAGAGAAACAAATCCACAGAACTCATGTATAAGAGAGTTTTATACAAAGGTTAAGTGTGCATCAAGAAAATATCCCAGCCGGCTTGGCTTCCGGGGCCATGGCCGGGAGCGGGCTGTGCACGCTGCGGGCAGTGTCCGGGCAGGGCTGGGTGCGAGGGTCGGGTCCGGCGGTACTGAGCCGCCTATAAAAAATTAAAAAAAAAAAAAAAAGAAAATATCCCAACCCAGTGCTGCCCAAGCCCACAAGTCCAACATTAACCCATTAACCCATATGTCTAACACCAAGCCACAAAGCCCTCTTCCGTCTCGCAAAACAGACGCAATGATGCCGACTGCAGGAGGAAAGTCGAGTCAGTGAATGTGTAAACATCTCAGCACTGGCAGGGGTCTCCACACTGCTGCTCCAGCACCCAGGGCTGCATCGGGGTAAATCCATGTGGCTTCTCCTTGGGGATGTCTCACAGGAAGTCAGCCTTGCAAGCTGAAGCAGGGAACTGCTAAGGCAGCTGGATCCTGGTGCGACCATCACAAAGCAAGAGACCCGAGAACTAGAAAGGCGAGGCTCACCGAGCCATTTATCCCTCTGCCCTTCAATTAATTCCACATGTGTGTATCGGCCAGGTTGGCACAATAAAGGAACTCAGAGTATTTCACCGCCCCCCCTGTTGTGCATGCCTTCATTGTAGGAGTGATGATAATAAAGATGTCGGTGATAAGAACTCCTGTTTATTCAACTCTTGATATGCACTGTGTGGAGTGGTGAATTAAGCATTTGAATTATCGTGTTGGAGAAGAATATTAAAAGTACTGTGGACTGCCAGAAGAACAAGCAAATCTGACTTGGAAGAAGTACAGCTAGAATGCTCCTTAGAAGTGAGTATAGCGAGACTCTTATCTCGTGTACTTTGGGCAAGTTGTCAGGAGAGAACAATCTTTTTTCCCCCCTTTTTTTCAGGGGAGAGCGCAAACGCAGTCCCCCACTACCACAAATTATGCAGTCGAGTTTCCCCGCATTTGGGAACTCGCAGGGGTCAGCACATCCGGAGTGCATTGGATAAGCCTCGCCCTGGGAAAACCACCTTCGTGATCATGGGACCTCCCCTGCCAGGTCAGTATGGAGAGAACAGTCTCTAGAAAAGGATGTTCTGCTTGGTGAAGTAGCTCTTTGCCATCAAATCTATTCCAAATGAGCAACTAGCGACTCATTAGAACCCCTCCCCGCACCCCTTGGGATTCAGAAACTAAATCTTTAAAAAAATGTTTTTAATTCAGAAACGAAATCTTTATAGGAGCAGAAAATTTCATCTTTCTCCCCTGTAGCAGCTGGTGGCTTTGAACTGCTGACCTTATAGTTAGTAACCCAACCCAACCCACTATACCCCCAGTGAGGCCAGAGAATAAGAGCCAGGATGCCTATGCTCTCCCAGCTGCTTCTGTGCTAGGCTCCCATACTGATTCTTGTTTTATTGGAGTTCAGTTCTGACAAGGGTCAAATCTTTCTTGAAGGATAGCATGAGAACACTGCTATGTACTGTGTGTGGAAACATAACACTCTATTTCTGACATCTGAAATCACGGGGCTCGCAGCAAAGCACGGAAACACAGACGGTTTCTTTGGAAGTCTACGGACATCAACTGGAGGTCCAGGTATCAGAACCAAAGGACATGCCAGTTTCCTTACGACCTTTCTTTGTACCGAGCTGTTTTAGACAATTTTAAAAATTGTTCAGCCATTAAAAAAAAATCTAATACTAGATACTGTAAACAAACAAACAAACAAAAGAAACGTATTAACTCGTCCCGTGGCTACCCTAGGCCTCTAGATCTCGGGCAGCCATATTTTGATTTCAGGGCAGATTTCACAGAGTTGACAATCTAGTTGCTCAATCAGGTAGACAAAGAAGGGTGTGGATTTTATTTGTAAGTTTTTAAGAGCTGTGAGAAAATAAAGACCACTACTTGTGTGGGACACAGAGATTTCTCCCAAGTTGTCTCCCCCAAATGTATGCCAAACTTAACTGCTTGCTACCCATGGTAAATGGCTACACTTGGGAGGTCAACAAAAGCAAGTCAGGTTATTCTCCCAAATTGCTTCTGAAGGAGAGCCCAGGGAGATCAAGCCCACTCACGGGTGACCAAGGTTAGGCTGCAGTATTGTCTAGGGTCCACCCATCTTGACACAGGTATACCCCTAGTCCCTCCCCTTCCTGTGATGTGTATGCCTATTGTACAGCCTCTCCCTGTGATGTGTGTGGTTACCTGTAATCATGCCCCTAAGTATATATGGGCCTTAGCCAGAAATACTCTCCTGCCCCTTTCCTCCAGTATCCCCACATGGACCATTAAGGGCTGAGGTGAGCATGCTACCATGAAATGTGTCTGCCTCCTTTATTTTACCTTCTCTTCTCTCATTTTCTATGACTTTGCTATAATCTTTATATTTTAACTGTGCGATTGCACTTATTGGACCCATGACATAGTTGTGAGGGACTGGTTTCCCCCACACTTGTAATTTATACCATTGAGAATTTTACTTTGAAAATTATGATTCTGCTGGTGTCAATTCACTGCCAATTGACCTTTAACCCATTTCCCTTTTCTTCCCATCTAGCCTTGTTTATTTCTCACAGAATTTCCTCATATTCTTTCAGGACACTTAACATAGCCTTCAGGATTCTAGACATTCTTTCCTTTTGGTTTCAGTATTTCTGTACAAACCATGCTGGAAAAGACAAGGCAGTTGGGGTGGTCTGACCTGTTTTCACGTGTCCTCACCATGCGCGAAGGAGCTGGGCGCAGTGAGTATGGGTCCTTTTGTTCCCCCAGAACACACAACACCAGAATGCCCATGCCGAAGGGTTGTACAGGACTCAAGAAATTCATGGGAAAATGGGAGTTCTTTCCATGAACCTTTTGAAGCCCCTTTGTGGTAGTTGGATGATTTGATGCCAACTCTACTGGGCTGTGCGTGGAGCCAAACCTGCCAACCAAGTGGTAGCTTGGGGGCACCTTCTTGGAGCTGTAGCCTTCTTTGTAAGAAATGCCTCTGCCACTTCACTCTCCTCTTCCTCGCTGGGACTCTGTCTGCCTCCAGGGGTAGTCCCATGGGGGCGGGCCACGCGACTGACAGCTGTCTGTGCCCTGCCTGGCTTCCCTGACCTTGGATCCATTTGACACTGCACTCTCCAGCCTGTGATCTCCCTGCTCCCCGCCTCCCCTTTCTGCGTCATCAGCCTGCAGGTCTGTGTGTCTGAAGAGGGCCTACCACCATTGGACTGTGGACTGATTGGGCCGGGTGCCTTATGGATGTAAAGTTGCCTCTTGATACCAAGTTCTTTCTTGTACGCAGACCAGTATCACTGCATAGTTCTCTAGACAGCCCAGTCTAGCCCACCCCTCACACATGAGGAAAAATAATTTCATTTCTGGCTGGATGTTATCAAATATATATCCAAATTTTTAACATGTTCTTCACGAAAAAATAATTTTCAATAAGCAATATTTTTAGCTTTAACAATGTTTTTGGGAAATAAATTTCGCAAAGTACACTACTCTGCGATTCATTTAAAGAAATCCTCAAAAACAAACCAAATATCACCCTGCAAAGTGGCTTTGCCTTTTCCAGCCAAGGTGTGGTAAGAGAAGCTGACACCTCTTCACAGAAACAGAGGGAAAACAAACAAACAAACCTGGGTGACATGTGAGACAACAGATCAGACACGGAGAAACAGTGCCACACTGATCCGTGAGAGCAGACAATCTGGCTTCTGGGTGAGGTTTCCGGGCCACCACTCAGGGAGAGGGACCAAATCAGAGCGGGGGCCTGCACATGCTGGGGCACAGTGGAGCGCCTGGGAGAGGCAAGGCGGCGAGCGTTGCATAGAGCGGCAGAGACCTGTGGATGACCACGCCCGCTGTGGAGCACCTGGTCCCCGAAATACTAGATAGCAGTAAGAAGGAACAAACTATTGATGCACGCAGCAACTTGGATCTCAAGAGAACTGTTGTGAAAAAGTGAAACTGTACTTTACAAGAAAGCCACATATGATTCCCTTTACATAATAATCTTAAACGATCAAAATTTGAGACCATAAACAAGTGAGGAGTTGCCAGGGCTTACAGGAGTGGCTATGAAGGGAAAGCGCTGCAGAGCCCAGAAGCGATGGCACAGTTCTGCATCCTTGCCACGCTGACTACATCCGTCGGGGACTAATAGCCAATAGTACACAAACTAGCACACAGATAGAAAATGGATGAAACTCAAAGCTCCTCTGTGGACTGTCCCGATGTGAATTTCCTAACTATGAGGATGTAATTCAAATGAAGATATTAAAACAGCAAGCAAATCAACCAAAAAGCCAACCCCAATATACCTCTATGTCACGTCCATTGTTCCTAAGACTTCTAGAAAAGGAGCTAAGAGAATGAACAGACCTCAGCTGTGGGATGAAGAGGTGGACGGAGAACTGAAATCTGGAGTTGGGTTTCAACAAGGTTACAGCAGGAAGAAGGGCAAGCTAATAATAGATTCAAGGTATTTTCTTAACCTGCTTCATGGAGAAAAGTTAGAATGTATCTTGGATAGATGTTTCTCAGTCTACTTCTAAAATCAGTGACACCAACCACTTAATGTCAGAGACTCGGGGATTATGTTAGGGAAATGCTTACCATCAAAGAGCACCTGATTCTTGTATATGGGTATACAGGGCCACAAAAAGGCGTGCTGACATGGCTTATAATAGTTTAAAAAGTGTGTGTGTGAACCGATTACAAGGTTCTACACATAGCCTCCGCCCTGGAGGATGGACAACAGAAAAGTGGGTGACGGGAGGCATCAGACAGTGTAAGATATGGCAAAATAATAATAATTTATAAATTATCAAGGGTTCATGAGGGAGGGGGGAGAGGGCAGGGAGGGGAACAATGAGCTGATATCAGGGGCTCGAGTAGAAAGCAAATGTTTTGAGAATGATGGCAGCAAATGTACTAATGTGCTTGACACAATGGATGGATGTATGGATTGTGATAAGGGTTGTACGAGTCCCCAATAAAATGGTTTTTAAAAAAGTGTGTATGTGTATTGCTCAAACATCCACTGCAGTACATCCACACAATACACACACACACAATAGAAACAAACAGAAGCAACACTATAAACTGGCACAGAAGCTGCTCACTATATAAACAGGAAAAAGCCATGCATTGAACAGATTACACATAAAATACTGGATTATGGGGGGGGGGGGAAGGCATATAAAAGATCTCAATAGATTTAAAATATACACGTTGGGAAGACATTTATTATGTGAGAATACTATTTTCTTTCTTTCATGTGGACACAACGGCTATCAAACCACATGTCGTTTGTCTTGTGCCTCTTTCTGCATGACCACTTTGCTCTCCAGAGGTGAACAAACACGTGAAAGCCATGCCCAGGGGCAGGGAACCTGAGAGGGCTGGTTGGGAAACAGAGCTTTCTGTTTATCCATCACCATCTTAAAAGATGACAAGTCTTTTTCAAAACAAACGCACTGATTCAATGGACTCTAATTCCTGTGCATCAGCATTGTTGTTAGTGGCCTTTGTGCGAGTCTGGATTCACAGTGTCCCCTAAGACACACAGCGGAACAGCTCGATTTTCTCTTAGAAAGAGATCGCCATACCTGTTTTCCAAGGTGCCTCTGGGCAGCTTTGAACTGCCAACCTTTCAGCTTGTAGCCAATTGCTTAGCTGTTTGCGCCACCCAGGCATTCTTTGGAATCTACTTGAAAACGAGCTGACCCGTTTATACCAGACTCAGAAGCCTGGAACTGTCAGTTGCCAAAGTCTTGATCCAGAGCACTAACACCTCTGAAAAGGATCGAGTATCCAAAATAAACGGCTACCGTCCCCAAATCAAACTTACACCTTAATGGATGCATCTCTTAAAAAAGAAAAGGCCGGCGTCAAGTTAAACAATGTCCAACTTCACCTTGATGTTCATTGCTGCCAGTTCAGCTACAAAGTAGCGAAAAACGTAAGGCACGGAAACTGTGTCAATGGAGTCACTGCGGTTACAGAGGGTGCAATTGTATTTCCTATTGCGCGTGGTGGACCAGGAAGGGGGCGGCTTCTCCAGCAGTGGGGAGAGCAGGCTACCGCACTGGACACACACGTGCGCCACCGAACGGTCCGAACAGTTGAAGAGCCGGTCGTGGAGGAGGAAGGAGGTACCGTGTGCCAGAAGCGCATCTCGCTCCATCTCCCCAAAACGGATCCCACCCTGGACGTTCCTTCCCCCGATAGGCTGGTTGGTGACTTTGTCTCTGGCTCCGGTGGTTCGGACCTGAAACTTGTCGGAGACCATATGTCGCAGGCGCTGATAATAAACCACACCGATGAAAATGTCAGCCTCCAACTCCAGCCCGCTGATGCCGCTGTATAATCTCTCGGTGCCATAGAAGTTGTAGCCCCCGGCCTTCAGCATCTCACCGAAGTATTCTAGGGCTGAGTTCTCCTCCGAAAAGATGAAGGGGGTGGCGTCATGGCAGAGGCCGTGCAGGGCCGCCGACTTCCCAGCCATGCTCTCAATCAGCATGCCGATAGTCATGCGGGACGGGAACCCGTGCGGATTGAACAGGATGTCGGGGACCATCCCACTCTCAGTGAAGGGCATGTCCTCAGTGGGCCACAACCTGCTTAAGATGCCCTTCTGCCCGTGCCGGCTGGCGAACTTATCTCCAATGGTGGGGTTGCGCGGGACTCGCATGGTGATGCACACACACTTGAACTTCCCACTCCCCGAGTCATTACTGCACACCTTGATGTTGTCCACCACACAGTGTTCTTTACTCCTGGGGAAAGACACATGCAAAAGGTCATGCTGGGTTTAAGCCGAGAGATACTGTTATCGTTAGTGCTTTATTTGAAAATACAGGCTCTTTCTTCAAGTCTTGAACCCAGGCAAACCAAAGCACTATTATGAAGATCTGTGCTTGAATGTGATTTTGTGCAGTAATTGACAATAAAATTTTATTTTTAGTAAGAGCCACCATGCACCCAACATGTTAGCTAGGAGACATCCCTACGGCATGCAGGAGAAAGACGTCGGTCTGAAGAACCTGGTTGAAAGTAAGCCACAGAAGGACTACTCATACACCAAGTAAGGGACGCTACACAAGACTTTTCAGTCTCATTTAAGCAATGACATTCACGCTGACAGTGACTGAACTGCCACCTGCTTCGCCCACCATGCTCCTGTGAGGGGAGGGGTTTTCATGGGTCTGTAGCAGCTCCACTTGGAGCACCCATACTCACTTGTAGTACACCACGAAGCTTTCCCCGGTGTTGAGGTTGACGTAGCTGTAATAGGGGTCTCCATACTGCAACCGTGCTCCAATAAACGGCAACCCATCCTCATCTAGTTTCTGCAAAACCCGTGGATCACCAGCCTTGACCCCAAACACCAGGCTATCGTCTCCTTGTTTAATTTTTTCAGTGAGATCTATGAACTCAGACTTGTATACACTTCCATGGGCAAAGCCTCGTTCCCAAGAGGCTTTATTTACAATCTGTAACGGCAAAGAACCATCCACTCATTAAGAGACTGCAACCACAGGGAGTCTCTTTAAAAACAGAAGCTGGGTGGGACAGTAACACTTTAGAAAATCTTTCACTAATTATGCATAAATATGAAAGGTAGATGTACCTAAGACTGCTCACAGTTCCCTATAGAAGCCTACCGAACTACCCCTTTGAGTTCAGAGACTGTAAACCTTTAAGGGAGCAGATAGGCTCAGCTTTCTTCCACGGAGCAGCTGGTGGGTTCGAACCTCTGTACAACCCATTACCCCACCAGGGCTCCTACACGGCTTCAGTGCCATTCAAACTTTACTTACTATGCTCACTCTAACTGCAGGTCACCAGCAGTTTACATACTTAATTTAGCTCCTTTAATGTTACCCAATTTCACCCCAGACCAGGAACGAGCCATGTAACGGCACTCAGGGAAACAGAAATCCTCAAATGATCTCACAGCATAGAAACAAACTTGAAAATAAGGGACAGAGCAGTCACATCTCCTGCAAGGACTCACCATGGCATCTTCCATATCATAGCCAGTGTACGAGATGACAGCGACTATGGCATTGGTCCCGATTGGATAGTTATCCATGTCATAGTAATCATACATGTAAGGCCTCACTAGAGGGCTCTGTGGAGTCTGAAGACGGTACAGTTTATTATCAGATCGGTCTCGATAGGTAAGAAGTGGAAAGCCCATAGTTTGCTTACCTACAGAAGGAGAAGAAAAGCCACGGTAGCACTTTCGGGAGAGCTTCCTTGATTGTATAAAGGCAATGCTTTATGACTTTGGTAACTACAGTAATACAAGTGAAGAGCCTTGTTCTTAAGAACTGTACACGGAAATCTTTGGGATAAACAGGCATCATGCCAGCAACTCACCTTCAAACGGAAACATGAAGAGTAGGGGGGCCAAAATGTTAACAGTAAGTGAAACCACATTTCAAGGATTTATGGGGGCTCTATGTATTTTCTCTCAACTTCTTTTTTAAAAATCATTTTACAAAAATCCATATATCTATGTGTCAAGCTCATCTCTCTCAACTTCTGGATACGTCTGAACTCACTCCAAAATAAGGAGCTACAGATGCTTCCCTTCTTTAGGGGTAATCACCTCCTTCCCGCCTTACCCATCTGACACTGGTACATGTTCCGGGGACTCTGGTTGTGATCAGAGAAAGGGATGAAGTTGGCAATCACACTCAGCAGGCTGTGAGGGAAGAGCTCCTGGTGTGTGGTAACTCTGGCGAAAACCTCATCCTCAAAAATAGCAATGTTCATGAAGAGCTGGAGAGGATGAAAGACGAGGAAGATCAAGACACAAAACATCTGACTGCTGACATGTAACTCTACTCCTTCTCTAGGCTGGACACCTCATTAGCATCACGGACACAGAAGAGATCCACAAAGAAACTTCGGTCAGAATTATCCCCGGCCACGATTTCACTCTAAGCGACCTTGGTCCAATTGTGAAGGGGAACCGGGAAGAGATGCGCAAAGACCACAACTCTGCAACATCAAGGACGCAGGCAAAGACCTAGTAATGTGTCATATCTTGATGAGCTGTGCCCATCTCAGCACCTGAGGCACGGCTGGGTGCAGAGCAGCTTTGAGAACCAGATTAGGTTGGAAAGGAGGCAATGTGAGCACTAACCTTCCCTTTCAAGTTTCACGAGATAAAACAAGTGACGCAAATGCTTAGTGCTGGTCACTAAGGCAGAAAGTAAACTGTGATTATCTTTCAAAATGCCTAATTATTATTAAAACAATGATAACCAAAAAAAAAAAAGTCCATGGTTAAGTCAACATTGCATCCTCTATGATCATGTACATCCATCCACCCATCTCACTTGCTCCACGTACCTGTTCCATGGTTCCAATCAGTTCTTCTTTGCCCAATTCCAAGTTCTGCACAGGTCGTACCAGTCTACAAGGAGTTGTAAAAAGGAACAGTCCTGGGTAGAGACTGGGCTTTCCTGTCATGGGGATAAGGGCCACCTCCATCCACGGAGGAATTCTTTTCTCTCTCAACACCTGTTTTTCAACAAGAAGAAATTTTCAATAAAGAGTGAATAAAATTATTTGAAAAAAAAGTGAGTGATTTGCTCTATATTACACCCCTCGTGCAGAAGATGAAGGCAAGTAGAATGAGGAAGGTCAAATTTGGTGGGGAAAAAAAAAAGAAACAAAAGTAGTAATGCATAGAAACAAACTAAAAAACCAGGGAAAATACAAGGTGAGCTGAACACCACAAAGAAAGTACACAGTTAAACTTTGATGGGGAGGAGCCAATAGGTATTTCTCTAGAGAGGATAAGCAAATGGCCAGTAAGCACATGGAAAAATGCACACCACCATCAGGAATAACTGCCAATCAAAGCCATTGAGATGCCACTGGATCTGACTACTATTGGCTATGAGGGCTCTCTGTGAGGGATGAAAACGGCCCGGAAAGAAGTGGTGATGGTTACACAACTTTGTGAACGGTACACTTAAAAAAGAACGAGAAAGATCTCATGAACGGAGATGCAGTGACTTTCAGGATATCTTTAGCAACTAGAGAAAACTACAAAAGAAAATGCTACCTCCTCAGTAAGAAAGAGGCAGAAATAGACTAAACGTGTATTAGTCTGGGTACTTTGGAGAAATAAATCCACAGCAACTCACGTATAAGAGAGAGTTTTACGCAAAGAAAATGTGCATCACGAAAACATCCCAACCCAATGCTGCCCAAGCCCACAAGTCCAACATTAACCCATTTATCCAACACCAGTCCACAAAGTCCTCCACCTCACAAAACAGAGGCAATGACGCCGACTGCAGGAGGAAAGCTGAGTCAGTGAACATGTAAGCATCTCAGCACTGGCAGGGGTCTCCACATGGCTGCTCCAGCACCCAGGGCTGCATCGGGATAGATCCATGCGGCTTCTCCTTGGGGATGTCTTGTACGAAATCCATCTTGCAAGCTGAAGCAGGGAACTGCTAAGGCAGCTGCACCCGATGCAACCATCACAAAACAAGAGACCCGAGAACTAGAAAGGCGAGGCTTCACCACCCATTTATCGCTCCGCCTTTCAACCAGCACCACATGTGATTATCGGCCAGGCTGGCACAATTAACTAACTCAAAACGCCTATCTTGATTATGCTTACAAACATACACAGAAAGATGAGAAACGGAAACTGGTCATGTATGAGGGTGAGGGTAAAGAGAAGAGACACTTCATTCAGTGTACCTTTCTGAACCACGCTAAAGCTTCAAACTCAATAAAGATGAGGGAGGGGAAAAAAGATGCAAAATAAACATCTAATCGGAATGAATATAACCACGCTAAAGCAGAAAAGGAAAATTAGCTTGAGTATCACAGTATCCTGATTCACCCACAAAAGATTTGCAAACAATTATTAAAGTGCAGCTTAAAATTTATTCACAGTGGTCTGGGTTATCAATTGTGAAACCCCTCTGTTGTTGAAGATTGAGTCACAGCAACTTTGTTGGTGCTAACAGCTGGAGAAGGGAGTCACAAACATGGGCAAGAAAGGAGTAAAGCAACTTTGGTGTTGGGCTGAAGTTGGTGGTTTCAATACGAACTCATGGCTTTAAACATACGCACATGGTGAATACGTGTGATGTGTATCAGCTGGAAGGGCTTAGAAGCAAAAGCGCACCAACAGCAATGTCCTATCCCCCAGTTTCTATGGCGCCGCACACCCCACAGGAAAGGGAATGAAGGCAATCCCTTTGAAGAACTGGCTGATTTGGGGCTGAATTGGGAAGGTCCATGACGAGCCAGGAACATCTGTGGCAGAAGGCAAGGCAGCATTCACAGAATGATTGGACATACAGTAAGTCAACAAACACAACAAGGTGCCAGCCATGAAGGGTTCCCCCAGCCTCATCTGACACACCTTTGAGTGTCCAAACAAATGATCATAACAGACCACTTAGGAAATGAGCACCTATAAACCTATGCTGATATAAGAAATGAGTCAATACGTAAATGGAAGCGAAAGAAAGCTCTATAATATAGAAGAGCAGCGAACACACACAGAACGATGCCAGGATTATGAACTACCTGCACCATCGTATTAATACTTAATCCAGCAATGATTGCCACATCACAGTATCATATTTTTGCTATATTTATTCGGTCAATGGAATAGACTATAAGGAATGGGTACTACTGTTTGTCAGAAGTTTTCAAGAAATAAGTTCATAAAGCTATCTAAACCCAGAGCATTTAGGGAAAAGAAAATCTTCGTTAACATTTCCAAACCTTTGCTCAGGTTTTATAAATGCCACCATCAGTTTCCTATCACTCAGTACATTTGTTTTAAAAGCTCACATCATAATGTACTATTTGTATTTTAATTAAGCAGTCTTTATGTGTATAAAAGAATCAGCAATGGATAGGGATCACTTAGCAAAGAATGCATCACCCGGTGAGTGAAAGTCTGATGAGGGACTAATCTGAAGAGCATTCACACTCTTTGAACTTCACGTTACTTTTGCGAAGAGAAAAACACAGTGACTTTGCAGTAGACTGAAGTAAAGAACACTAAGTGATCGAGGTTAACATTACCAGAAATGGGGCAAGTTGACATTGAGATGTCCCAAAAACCTCATCATGAAGCATCTTAAAACCTCAAAAAGCCAAACTCACCGCCACTGAGTTGGTTCTGATCCATAGTGATGCTATAGGGCAGTAGACCTGCCCCTGTGGATGTTTCTGAGACTATAAATCTTTACAAGTGTGAAGTGGCTGGTGGTTGTGAACTGCTGACCCGTGGTTAGCAGTCCAAGGTGTAACCTACTATGCCAGCCTGGAATTGCCCCTGTGAATTTCCGAGACCGTAAACCTTATTTATGGGAGTAGAAAGCCTCCTCTTTCTCTCTCAAGTGGCTGGTGGTTTCAAACTGCTGACCTCGCAGTTACCAGCCCAATGCATAACCACTACCCCACCAGGGTCCTTAGAAGTAGTTACATCAAATATTTGTGTAAGTGTATATGAATAACACATCATGTAAAAATATTGTTATGGCGCATATACTACCTCATCCAAAATATTCATAATTCACAGACAAAAATGGGAATATATTCATAGAAAGCATACAAGTGGCAAGCCAAGGGAGTGACATATAACAATGGGAGGATCTGGGTAGTGGGCACAGGGGGAGCTCTCTGTGTGAGCACACCTCATCCTACTGGGCTTTGCTCTATTGTGCTTCCAGATATTGCATGATTTTATCATAATCAAAGTCTAAAGGAACCTGGTGTTGACCAAGTTTATTGATGTATTTTTCTCATAATTAGAATTTTTCTTTTTTTTTTCCATTAGAATTTTCCACAGTGCTATTCCATTATTGGTCACTAAGGGTTGAAATTGATTGGAAGATATTGAGTTTGATTTTACTGCATATTAATAGCCTTTATATGTAATAGAAAACACACACACGTCACATGACTTGCTTTATCGCGATACCGCCTTTTCGAGGTGGTCTGGAACCAAATCCACAACATTTCCTAGGTAGGCCTGTACCATTTGAACATTTTTTAGTGAGTAAAATCACAAAGTAGAACTATTTTTAAAACAACAACAAAAATCCTAGAGCAGAGTATGAACTACAGATTTCTCCTAGAAAAAGAGAGAAGGCCTAGGAGGAAGGGACAGAGCACTTCTCAATTACTCAAGATTACCTTAAAGTTCCGGAGCGACTTGGCAATGGCAGGGGCGAGCTCTTGCTCCACCCAGCCCACCACGACGCCATCCAACAGGACAGGGTAGCATTCACTGTACGGTCGTTGCGGAGCCCCATCCACCGGCGTCATCCCTAATGAAGGCGAAAGAACTGCATCAAATGCTTCCTCCCACATTTTCCTGTGTCAGTTCACGTCTTCTCTTCAAGGATACCCGAGGAACTAGTGACACGGATCGCCTGAAGCAGGGAGAGCTGGGGCAGGGATATAAGGGAAGCTTCCCACCGCTTATCTTATATTTGAATATCTGAGCCCTGTAAACATATTAGTCTGCTCAAAAAATATAATTAATAGAAAAGAATTCCCCTCCGTGACCATGAATATCAAAGACTGACAATCGCCTGATCGGTGTTTCTTCTACCACCTAATATGATCAGACCAATCACGTTATTTAAATGCTCCACTCTGTCTTCTTCCTGGTGCCAAAGCAAATAACACTCCACCCCACACCCCTGCCCGCTTCTTCTGCCAAGGGCTATTTTTTCCACATATCTACCTATTTCTCTTCTCCTTTCTTGAACTTTGGCATTTCCAATTACTGGTGAAAACAAAAGTGTTCTTTTCCTTATGGAGGGCAAACTACAGATTAGAGTTATCCCACCCTCTGGACCCTGAGTATTTTGGATTACTTCCTCTTGGGCTCCCTCTACAGAGGCCAAGCACGAATTGGTAGAAGTTCTCAAAATCAAGGATCCAACCCTGAAGAAGAATGAAAAGATAATGTTCCATCGAAAGCAGATGGCAGCTGCAATGCTACCAGGAAAAGAGCCTATGCACCTGAGGAGATCAGGAGACAGGCAGAACACCTCTTCAAGGTCTTCCTGGGATCTGACACTCCTTTCTACTTAGAAACGTAAAGGGCCACACAAGAGAAGCAGGGAGAGTAACCCCACAGGTAACATGATCGCACCTACACTACGGCAATATTAACTATTCATCGGCTTCAAATGCTTTGATATCAAGACAGAAGGCCGGAAAACAGCCCAACCCCAACGACTCTTACAAGAATGAGCTGCTGACCACCACCCCTCCCCCCCGCCCCCCAAGATGCGTAACTCAGCAGCTTGAGGCTGTTACAAAATACGGACAACTGAGTAAGGCTGCTACATAGCTGAACATCACGCACCCAAGTTGCAGAGCAGAGCTGGGATAGACGTTGTGTACACAAACTGCGTGACCACCTCACACACAGCAGTTAAGTGGTTCATCAGGCCGCAGGGCTCCCCATCTGGGGTGTGCACGGGGCAGAGGAAGCCCCAAGACTCTGGCAGCAGCCTGCGTACTGTGGTAGTCCTCATCTTGGCAAAGCTGGCTCCTCTGTGCACACAGCGGAAATGGGAAAGATAGCGAATGAAGTTCAGCTTGTCAGCCACAACACACAGGCCAGAATCTTGCAGGAAGCCAAGACCTTAATAAAACAAAAGTCACTCAAAAACCGGTCAAACTTAAAAAAAAAAAAAGTCTTATTTTTACTTAAGGTTCTGGTTAGTGGACAAAACCTGAGAATGCTCTCATAGATCACAGAATGGGCTCCTTAGAAAGTTTCCCATTAGTTTTGAGAGAGTGGACATAACTTAGCCAAAACCAAAGCAATCCCACCTTCATAAACAGGGAGAGCCTACTGGTCATACTTTCCCTCCACCTCCTTTGTGGGAGAGCCTTATACGAGCAACGGAACAGGTAGAAATTAAAGGGACCCATCCACCACGATGCATCACGTAACATTTGGTAGCCCAAAAAGAATCCACATCAGTTTTCCTCTAGAAAGCCTAGGCCTCTAATCATCACTTTATAAGAGCCCCCACGTGACTGTGGTGTAGCTGGTTAAGGATGGCTTTCTGGAGCAGGTCTCCTGGACAACCTGCTAGGTTACCCTCCTCCCTCAGAGACCCAAGTTTTCCTTAGCACTGAGAAGGGGGGCTCGTAATGGATGCACTGGTCGGCAGAATGGAACTACACAGAACACTTTGTTGAAAGCCTTTCATATCGACACTTGGAAGGAAATTTACATGTAAAGCACTAATTTGGAGGGGAAAACATTTTCTAAAAAACCCCAAACCAAACTAATGGAGCCTCCCTGCCTTCACCTGTTTTAGAACGCAGATTCCCAGTAGCAAGAAGATACTCAAATGGTTTTGTAAGGTCAGTTCCCAGATTAAAAATCTTCAACAAATTCTCAGTGTTTATGGATACATTGGTCTTCTGAGCCTTCTTGTCTATCGCTATTTTAATAGATACTAACCAAGCTTCCATCTTTTCCTGAAATAAAATTAACATCAAGTGTTTTAATAAGCACAAGACATACATTTACTAGTTACTCTCACATTCTCTGTACAATCCATAGCAAGGGCTTACTAATTCATACACCTAAACGATAAATATCTCATTTTACTGGACAGCATGTTCTACTGAGTTAAAAAGTCTACAATTTACAGGGAGCAATGCATTACAAGAACCACCAAAATCCCTTGAGGGTTTTTCAGCATTACAATTTTTTGGACTTTAGAAACTAATAGGTGCATAAACCATACCTAATACACGTGATGGACTGAGGTGCTGGCAATGGCCACACCAAGTAGGACAATTAAGTTAGAAAAAGTTTGGTAACAGTTCAGGTCAGGCTTTGCTACTAAGTCGCGTTTTGGGGGGATCCGTACTTTTTGGATGTGGGTCTGCGCAGTGACTGGACTTGTATGTACAGCCTAGACTCATGTAGGTGCAGAGAGCAACAGAGGGCAAATCTTTGCTGTGACGTTCACCAACCTTTTAAGACTGTGCTCACCTGACGAGCATACAGTGCCCGTGACAAAGGGGGCGACACCAAGGGTACAGGTCGAGGGGTGTCTACCTCATTATAAAAGGTCAGTTTCTCGCCCCCCCCCTCAACTCTTGGGGAGCAGCCTTCGGAAGTGGCAAGACCACGTGGGACACCTCAACCCCCAGGGCTCACTTTGTGGAAGGGTGGACTTTGGAAGAGCATGCCTCTGTCGGCTAGTTTCTCACGACTGCTTTCATGCTCCAACCCAGAGGTTTAGAAGCCTAACTAGAACTGGTGACAAGGAAAAGACAACACATGTTTAAGCAGTGGATTTCTTGGAAAAGTCACACATTTCCCTTTGTTCTCTGAAGAAAGGCCTGGCTACTTGAGATGCATCTGTAACACTGCAGGGTCTAGAAGCCCACAATCCAGTGTGAAGTGGAAGGGAAACCTAAACCAGCCTTCACCCGCATGGCCACTGGACCTACCAAGAACGTGCAACTGCTGCTCTCTCACTGAATTCTCATGGGGAAAAATGTCAACTGGAAAACTTCAAGCTAATTTTATGGACAGAGCACACAGAAACAAAAGGAACATTTACGTAACAAAGAATTACTAACTATGTAAGGAATTACCTGAGGTTTTTATTTTACGTATTTCTGTCCTGCTGTGCTACCTCTCATAAAGGTTTAAGTCTTTTTAGGATGAACATGCAAAATGGCATGAAAGCCAACTTGGATTTAAAATCATTCTTGTGCCTTATCAACTTTGTATGCACCTTTACAGGCATTAACATTCTATCATTCATGTGATAAAGACCGAGATTGGATAGTGTCTTTACTTAAACTATGTAAAAGTACAGAACCCAACATAAATATCTTTGATTAAGCCCCTTACTGCTAAATAAACAAGCAAACAGAACACACATGGAGGCCAAGCTACAAAGTATAAGCGTGCACACAGGAGGAAAAAAGAAGCCCTGCTGGATCCAGTCACACTTCTCCACAGGTGGTCCAAGTGAAAGCCACATGCACTGACCTTCAGAAACATCAGGAAGAGCTGGCCAGGTGTAAGGACTTCTTGGTTCATTAGGCTGTCAGGATTCTCCTCCATACACTCGCCTTTGGCTAAAGCAAAGAGCTTCCGGGTCATGAGACAAAGCATGTAGAACTTTTCAGTATTGGAACTTAAGTGGATACAGATGCACTGGCTGTCAAAACAGAAAGAATAAAACTTAAACATAATCAAGCGGTTAATATAACACCTGATGACCTATTGGCCAAGGCCCCCAAGTCACATTTACTTAAATAACCCTAATTCATTTTCTTAAAATGGCTTTTTACAATTTTACAGGCAAGGTTAGCCAAAGAGATGAGCTTACTGGTTCACTTATGACAGTGACATGCACCTATTTAAATAACTGAAAGGAAATAAAACATTCTGCTTCTTAGTGGCCGACATGGTTAGTGGCGGTTGTGCCGCACAGCACTGGTGCAAGGCAGGGTCTCGGCAGTAATTACACAATGGGTCTGTCACAGGGACTCCTTGGCTTTGGCGAAATAAAAGGGCACAATGCCTGTAACTTGACCTCAAATGGTTCCAGAAAAAATAAAGCTTAAGTAGAGAGAAACGATAAAGGGGTATACTACAAGGTTCAAAATCAGTGAGTGTAAATGTTCTAAAAAATGTACTATTTTTACAGCTGTCCTACAAGGTTGAAAATATTTCAAAAAAAAAAGACGAAAGACAGGCCTGTCTGGATAGGACAGGCTGGATGAACAATCTGGAGGAGAAAACAACGGGACTGACAGTTCCGGGGGGACATGGGAAAGGGGG